TGTCTAATGCTAAGGTAGTTCAGAGGCCCTCGGGCCGCTGGTATTTCCAGAAAGCCAGCTCCCCATCATCGCTGCAGGAGGCCAGAAGCCCCTGGTCTTTGGGGTTCCAGGCCACACAGTTGACATCCTGGGAATGTGCCTGAGGCACGTGCACAGTGAGGGAGAAGGTGGGCTGCTGCGGATCTGAGCTGGGATCCTCCTCAAACACCCGGATGGCATCGTCCCCACAAGCTGTAGCCAGAGCTCCCGTCAGCTGACACCTAGAAAGAATTGGGCATCAGTGCATCTGCAGGTGCCACCTCCTGCACTCCCTCAACCAGGGACACCTCAACGAGAAGAGTTCTACAGCCCCAGCCTGCTCTTCTCAAGCTTTACTACCCAGCTGGAAACCTCTCAAATCAAAGCATTTCCCTGTTATATGACCGCAAATACCAACCCTTAGTCTCCCTAAGTGCTGCCACCAGGCCCCAACATAATTAACCTAGTTGCACAGAATTCAGATTGTGGAATTCTTGGCTTATGTTTCTCCCTTGCCTTACAAAGTTCCCCTCATGAGCTGGGATCTGCATGTTTTTTTTGCCATGCCAGGGATGAAAGCCAGGGCCTTCAACCTGGTCCTATTATGAAATGTTTCTAATCCTTTTTTTTTTTTTTGGTGGGGGGGTTGGGTACCCCTGCCAGTGCTCAGGGTTGTGTCTGAGCACCCCTGTCAGAACTCAGGTTGGTCACTCCTGATTCTGTGCTCAGAGGCTGTTCTGACAATGACCAAGGGACGATGTGATTTCTGGTTAAACAAGTGTGTCCTCAGCCTGTGGAGCCCTCCCTCTGACCCCCTCCTTAACAGGGATATGGCACGCTGCTGGATTCTACCATACTTTAAGTCTATTTCTATTACTCTCATAAGCTTGCCAACAGGAAGCTTAAACATTTGCTTTCCATTATTTAGGATTATTTCTGGGTGAGGTAAGGGCCTCCATTATCAGGGGGCTTTTCGAGACTCTTTAAGGGTAGAATGAGTGTAATTAAATCATCAATGCCCCCAGCCCCAAATCCAGGTCCCCTACTGCTAGAAGCTGCAGTTTTGCTGACTGTTACTGCCCCAACTGTACTACCAGTGCAGCCACCAGCCTGTCCCCATGCCGTGGACCTGAGTCAGTCAGCTCAAAGTCACACGCCAGCTGGCCTGGCCTGATCTGAAGGAATGGACATGACTGCTCTGGAATCCCACCGACTCAGGTGAGCACACCAGTCCTTGCTCTCTTGAACTCACTGACGCAGAGAAGATGCGGACGAGGAGGTGGGGGTCTTACCAGGCGACGTCGTAAATGGTCCTGGAGTGGAAGCCTGACAGGGTGCAGATACACTTCCAGCTGGGGTCAGAGCCACTGCACGCCACCCCTGCATGACAGACGTCTCCTGAGCCCACAGTGTGCTGCTCCCTGTGCCCCTTGGGAGCTACTGTCTCACTGCAGAGAAAGTCCTAACTGACCCTTCTCTACCCGTCGGTACTAAGTCCTCTGCCTTCTGATTCCCCAACCTTGACTATCTTCCCAACTTTGGTCAGACTGATTTTGGGGGGTGTTTTTGGGCAGTACTAGAGATCAAACCCAGGGCCTTACAATATGTGAGGCTGTACTGCTGAGTTTCTTGCCTGGCCCCAGTCTGGCTCTGTGCTCAAAGATCACTCCTGCTCAAGTGACCATATGTGGTGACAGAGATCGAACTCAGGCTGGCCATACGTTGAAAGGCAAGTGCCTTACCACTGTGCTATCTCTCTGGCCCCCTGACATTTATTTCCCCCTTAGTTCTTGGGTTGGACTGGAGCGACAGCACAGCAGTAGGGCATTTGTTTTGCACGTGGCTCACCCAGGTTCGATTCCTCCGTCCCTCTCGGAGAGCCCAACAAGCTACCAGTGGGGTATTTGAAATGCCAGAAACAGTAACAAGTCTCACAATGGAGACACACTGCTGCCCCCTCTAATGAACAATGGGGACGACAGTGCTACAGTGTTACAGTTCTTGGGTAACATCAGACTGTTCAGAGGTTACTATTAGCTTAGTGCTACATACAACAGGGCCCCATGAGCACTCCCTCCAGCCCCACATTTCTTTCTTTAAAAACCCTTTTACTGGGAATATCCTGCTACAGAGGCAGGGTGGGAAGGGGGGTGAAGAGTGGAAGGGATACTGGGATCAATGGTGATGGAGAATGGGCACCGGTGGAGGGATGGGTACTTGATCGTTGTATAACTGAAACCCAAGCACAAAAATTTGTAAGTCTACAACTGTACCTCATGGTGTTTCACTAATAAAAAATAAATAAATAAATAAATAAATAAAAACCCTTTTACTGGAGGGGCTGGAGAGATAGCACAGTGAGTAAAGCACTTGCCTTGCATGCAGCTGACTGGGATTTTGACCCCTGACACTCCATATGCTTCCCTGAGCCCAGCCCGGTGTGGGCCAAAAACAAAACCAAAAAACTCTTTGCTGCAGACAAGTTAGCCTGCCACCAGTCAGCCCAATCTCCTTTAGTTCTCCCAAGCCTTTATACCCTTTGTTTCATCTAAATGAAACACTGCTACTGTTTCTATCATCAGTGCAGTTATTCATGTGCATGTTTTCACCCAGAATTCTCCTGAGCAAATCCTACACATCCTTTCGAGTCTGGTTCCTCTTGAGCCAAGCTTGCCCAGAGTGTTCCCACACTCATTCTGGAGCCCCCACATCTTATTTCTGACTTTTACTTGCTAGAATTCATCGACACATCTTAGCCCCTTGACTGAAACAAACCCCAGGAGTTGAACTGCCATTAACTGGCCCAACAGCCCCTCACCTTGCTCGTTGCCTGGCAGATACTGGCGCCAGATGCGCACAGTCCGGTCATCGCTGCAAGAGGCCAGGCGCTGGCCGCTGGGGTCAAATGCCAGACTCCAGACTGTGGACTCATGGCCCTCAAGGGTGGCACAGCACACCCAGTCATCCTCTTCCTCTCGGTAGAGCTTCACTGTGTCATCATAGCTGGCAGAAGCTAGCAACTGAAGTGGGAGGAAAACAGAATGTATAGGCAGCACCTTGGAAATGCTCAGGCAGGACAGTTCTGGGGATTGGTTCTGAGAAACTGAGCTCTCTGAAAACAGCCATGCTGAGGCTGAAGAGCTGGAGGAAGGCTGGGGCACAAGTGTCCAGGCCAAATTTCCTTCTCACTTCTTACCTCCTGGCTTGGGTGCCAAACCACATGCTTTACATCCTGTGTATGGGAGTTGAGGACACTGACACACTCATACTCATCTTCTTCATCAACTGTGGAAGAAAAACTCATAAGCCAACTGTGTCAGAACACAAAGGTGGAGAGGGGTGTCTGCCCAGCCTCCAAAATGCACCAGCAGTGCCCCCGGACTCACCTTCCCAGACCCACACACTCTTGTCTCTGCTGCAGGTGGCCAGGAGGTTACCAGATGGGGCCCAGGCCACAGACTTGACCTCATTTTCATGGCCCTCCAGAGTGGTGACACACTGTGAAGGGGGGCGGGGGTAGAAAACTACAAATCAACAAGAGCAAGAGCTCAGACTTCCCTGGGTGGGGGGGGGGAGGGGGGCCTACTGCTGGTTCTGCCCTACTGGCTCAGGTCCCTGCCCAAGGGAGCAAGCAAACAAGCAAACAGGCAACAGTAAATAGCAGCCCAGGCCTGGTTACCTCAAAGTCATCCTGGTTCTTCTTCCAAATGCAGGTGGTAGCATCAAAGCTGGCAGAGGCCAGGTAGTTCCCACAAGGGGACCAGGCCACCTTCCGCACGGTGCGCTGGTGGCCTTCGGACAGGACGGATTTGCAGATCCAGCTGTCACCTAGAAGCCGAAGGGCGAGCACCAGAGCCACACTGGGGCACAAAGGCCGGCAGTGAGTTTAACACCAAGCTTTTGCAAAGATGTAACCGACTCTACTCCGGGAGGCACCCGGCAGTGGGTAGCCTCAGTGCCCTTGGTACTTTTGCACCCCAAGATTTCAATCTCACCTGCCCGGGTTTGCGCCGCAGGTGGGCGATTTTCCTGCAGCCCTCCCCCACGCCCCCACCCCCGTTATCTCCCTGCCTCGGCCAGGGTAACACTTGCCCCAACAGCTCTAGCCCGCAGGCGGGCGGTTCTACTTCTGGTCCTCAGCCCATGAATTCTTTCCCGGGGAAGCGAGTTACTTTCGCCGGCGGCGTGGCGCTGGGCAGCAAGGGGTCGCGCCGCCCCGCCCGGCCTTACCCTCCTTGCCCCAGATGCGGACCCGACGGTCGCCCCCGCACGAGGCCAGCAGCGTCCCCGCGGGGTTCCAGGCCAGGAACCAACAGCGGGAGTCCGGGTGCGCCGGGACCCGGCCCAGCAGCACCAGCGACTCCTTCATGGCGGCCGGAGCAGCGGCGAGGCCCGGGGAGGGCCGGGTGGTCGGAGCCAGTCGAGGCGACAGCCGGTCCCCGAGCGCGATCCCCTCTCAAGGTCCACTCCACCTCTCCGGCCGCGGGGTCCGGCCGCTTCCGCCCCGAGGGCCCGGGTCGTCTTGGGAACTGAAGTGCCCGCTCCTGCGGCCGCGCTGCCCCCTGGGAAGTGTAGTTCCGCATCCTGCCCGTCGCCCCGAGCATTGCGCTGAACTACAAGTCCCGTGAGGCCCTGCGCAGGGAGCGGCGGCGCGCCCGGGCTGTGACGCGCGCGGGGCGGGGCGGGGAGCCGGAGGGGGCGGAGGCAGAGCTGAAGGAAGCCGGAAGTGGATCGGCCCGGGTCGGTCCGGGCGTTGCGAGATTGGGCCTGCGATCGCCGGCCTGCAGCTGCTTAGGGCTCTGTGACAGGACGGAGCGTTGCCAGTCCAGCCTGAGGCCTGCTGACCGGTGAGGCAAAAGGGCGGCGTGGGCCGAGTCCTTTCTTCGTGGAGGTCGCACCCCAGAGCGCCTTCCCCAGAACCCGGGTCCCTATCCCCGCGGCCCAGCCGGGTCCTCCGCCCCTCCTCTCTCTCTCTGACCGAACCCGGGCTTCCAGGTCTCTCTCCCTCCAGCCACCGAAACCTCCGTTCCTCTGCAGCCCACCCTGCTCACCTTAGGTCCCAGCGGGACTCCAGCTTCCTCGGGGTCTCCCCTTCTCCTGCACCTCCGCAGCCTCATTCCCGGCACCCGGTCCCCGCCCCCCAAATCCCTGCAGCCTCGCCGGCCCCCCTCGGCCCCAGGTCCCGCCCCTCGTCCTCCGGTGTCAGCGCCGATTGTCCTGCGCCGGCTTCCCCGGGCAAACCCAGCTCCTTGCTCTTCTCCCCGCGACAGGCAGGCTCTGCGCGCCCCGCGGAGCCCGGCGACCACCAGCGGCGGCGGCGCAGCGACGGCTGGGGGCCCTGGGCATGTACGCCCCCGGAGGCGCAGGGCTGCCCGGTGGGCGCCGGCGGAGGAGCCCGGGAGGCAGCGCCCTGCCCAAGCAGCCGGAGCGCAGCCTGGCCTCGGCGCTCCCGGGCGCCCTGTCCATCACGGCGCTGTGCACCGCCCTCGCAGAGCCCGCCTGGCTGCACATCCATGGGGGCACCTGTTCCCGCCAGGAGCTGGGAGTCTCCGACGTGCTGGGCTACGTGCACCCGGACCTGCTGAAAGGTGAGAGCGGCGCGGGGCCGACGGACTGACAGAGCAGAGAGGGCTGGCGCGGAGCTTGCAGCTAACAGCCCAGCAGTCCATGCCCAGCAGGTGGCTCTGTTTGGGGTCCGACCTGTCATTAATTCTGCTGTTATTCAGCCAAGCACCTACTCCACACGCCAGTGCTAATCCGGACTGCTGCTATTTTCGGATTCTGCCGGAGGAAGGGCGCTGTCCGTGGAGGAGAGATAAGGGTGCGGGAGCTCCGCGGTAGCTGCCCCCTGCTAAGTAGCCTCTGAGATGCAGTGAGGTTTCTCTGGGACAGCTTGATGAGTGGAGAAAAAGGAACTTGGAATGATTACAGTTGAAAAGATATTTTTGACAACTGTGCTAATGGAATTTTGTTGTTGTTGGAGGAAAAAGGGAGCCTAATGCAGACATCAGTTGCAGAAGAACCACTGAGAATGGGTCCTGGAATTAGATCAAATGACACTGCTGAGCTAAGGTTGTTCAGTTGATCTTCATCCTTCCTAGTCAGGGAGGTACTGAAAAGAGAAAGGGGCAGGGATGGGGGTTTCCTAAGGATGTTCCCAGAGAGCCCCAGAGCTCATCCTACCTAGCCCTGTTTCCAGGAAAGAATATATAGGGTGATTGACTCTCACAACAGGACTGCACTATCTCCCTTTGACCCCTCCCAAAAAAATACAGTCAGTGGACACCATAGAGACCATAGCAATACTGTTATCACCCCCATGATCTTTTGAGCTGATTTTGAAGGTCTTCATATTTTCTCTCTGCCTCCTCCTATCCACGATGCATTCCAGAAGCCCTTCCAGTAAGGCAGTTTTATGTTGCCCCTTTAGAGGTCTATGCAGGTGGTGGGGGGATTTGTTGAAAAGGTCAAGTTCCTGTACGTTGGATCACAGGTTATTGCTACAGGGCTGGCCGGGGAAAATCTTGTCCCCATGACCTACGGTTGCCTTTCCCTTCCTGCTTTTGCATTTTTGTGGCTCTAGGAGAATTTGTGGAGAACAGATTGGGAGCCCCTACTTGATTACCTGATTCATTGTGTCAATGCCTTTGATGAGTTGGTTCATTGAATCAGGCGTAAATCCCAGCATGTGGCTTCGTGACATGCAGCCTTTTCTCCAGTGTGGGCTTGTTGGGTAAAGGCCACTGCATTTGATTGGAGGCTGGATGTTGTTTTTTTCCCTCAGCACATTCCCCTGTCCTTGCGCACTCAGGCCCTTACTGTCCTTTGAAGGACAGCTGCCACCCCTCCATCCTGCATCCAGACCTTTGCGGTTATCCCCTGGTATCTCTGTCTCCCAAGTACTTGGTGCTTCCTGCTCACCCCAGAGAGCATGAGGATGCTCCTTTCTTGTCAGCTGCTCTCAAGGGAGGCTCCCAGAATTCCTGGGGTTGAGAGAGGCAATGTGATGGCAGGTCTTTATATCAGAGTCCAGGGATCTGTGGCTCAGACAAGTGGCCTCTCCAGAGAGCACAGTTTGGGGAGGCATAACTGAGCTTGCCTTCATCTTTTCCTTCTGTCTCAGTTTCTTTTTTTATTTTTGGCTTTTGGGCTATTCCAGCAGTACTCAGGACTCACTCCTGGCAGGACTCTGGAAACCATATGGGATTCCAGGGATCAAACCCCAGGCAGCCCCATGCCAGGCAAGTGTCTTCCCCGTGGTGCTATGGCTCCTGGCCCTCGTCTCAGTTTCTTGTCCTTTATTTCATTTCAGTTCTCGTTGGGCATGTGCTCTCAGTGACCTCACTGTCACATGCCTCCCTGAGAAAAGTATGTAAAACATAAGAACAAGTTCTTGTGCAAGTTCTCTGTTGTTTTTTACTGTTTCTAAACTGTAACTGTGGCCAGAGTAGGACTTTTGTAAAAGTGTGTTTCCTACACATGGACACTGAGGTGTTCTGGAGTTTACCGCTCTCTATTCACTGAACTTCTCCCTGCCTGCTGGTGGCCATCTCACAAACTAGGAACATCTCCTGTCCGATCATAGAGTACATGGGGAGGCAAGGGGAGGCCTGGAGCATCACAGAAGATGGACAAGAGTTTGATTTTTTTTTTTGCTTTTTGGGGCACACCCAGCAATGCGATGATCAGGGGTTACTCCTGGTGGTGCTTGGGGGACCATATGGGATGCTGGGAATAGAACCCAGGTCCGCAGCTTGCAAGGCAAGTGCCCTACCCTCTATGCTATCACTCCAGCCCCAAGAGTTTGATTCTTTCTGTCCTTTGTCTCCATTGTTCTTTGGTTCCCCTAGGGCCTTCAGACATATTGTCACCTTCCGGCTGTGCTTACTGGACCTGCAAGCTCATTGTCAGGCCTATTTGGAAACCTGGAGGTTCCCCATCTCTAGAGGAAGCAGAGGTCATGCACTGACCTGGACTGGCACACTTTGGACAGGCACACAGCAGGCTCAATTTTCCTTTCTTCTGGGCCACACTATTATTTGGAAGGTGTTTGTGTGTGTGTGTGTGTGTGTGTGTGTTGTTTGTTTTTGCTTTTTGGGTCACACCCAGCAATGCACAGGGGACACTCCTGGCTCTGCATTCAAGAATTGATCCTGGCAGTGCTCAGGCGACCATATGGGATGCTGGGGATCCAGCCTGGGTCAGCCGTGTGCAAGGCAAATGCCCTGCCTGCTGTGCTATCGCTCCAGCCCCTATTTGGAAGGTTTTACGGTCAACCCCACACTTGACAGACACCTCCGGCTCAGAGAGGCCAAAGAACTTGCTCAGGGCACATGGCAGATCTGCGTGACACAGACACTAAACAAAGCATTGTTCTTTCTGGCTTCCTTTTTTCTTCATTCCTAGGATCTGGGTGGCCCAAGGCTTAGTTCCCATTCTGGTTGAGTTTTTCTGATAAGAATAGTCAAAGCTGCCTGTTTCTTTTCCCATTGCCTCTGTATTCAGTCTTCAGCTGATGATTCAAAGGCCAAACCGTCATTGCAGGGCCTGGAAGGCTTTAGCAACTGTGGATTAGTTTAGAAGGTTTCCAGATTCTAGGGCCCATGTGATAGTACAGCAGGTAGGGCCCTTGTTTGCACATGGCTTACTGGGATTTGATCCCTTGTACCCAAATGGTTCTCCCCCCACTCCCAGCCCACCAAGAATGATCCCTGAGCAGAGATCCAGGAGTAAGCCCTGGACACAGCTGGTTGTGACCCAAAAAACATTTTCATTTCATCATCCTGTTAATCGTCGATTGCCTCGAGCAGGCCCCAGTAACGTCTCTTTCATCCTAGCCCTGAGATTATATTCACGGCTCTTTAGGAGAATGAGACCCATCATTGTTACTGGTATTTGGCATATTTGGTAGGCCACGGGGAGTTTGCCAGACTCTGCCCTGTGGGCAGGCTACATTCGATAGCCTGCAAGTTTGTCCAAAGTAGGAATGAGATAATAAGATGTCATAAAAAGATGTCCTGATAAGATGTCCGGGATCTGGATTTTATAGTCTCTGAGTCTTGGCCGCTGATGGGATTACACGGCGCCAGGGGGCCAGGTGGTGGGTGTGACCCCCGCCTACTGGAATTTGGAGGATCTGGGTGGAAGATGCTCGACTCCAAATCGAGTAGGCTTGGAGGTCTCGGCCCCGGAACCCGCGTGGCTTTGTCCCTCTGCCAGTACCTTCAGGTGTCCCAAAAAACAAAACCAGAAAAAAAGTGATTCCCAAATTCTTCCACTGGGGGCTGAGTGTATGGGGCCTGCTTCTCACACAGCTCTTCATCCAGGGCTGTGGCTCCAGAATAACGCTCAGACTGTAGTGACCCCAGACAGTGGAGCACCAGACAATCGTCCCTCTGAGCCTCTGTTTCTGTCTGCCCTCGAGTGTGGCGAGCCAAGGAAGGTCAGCGAGGCAGCAGCCTCGGGAAGCATCTTTGGGAAATGAGGAAGTCAGGTGACGACAACTAACCACAGGGAGACTGAGGCTTTCCAGGGAGGCCCTGAGAGCCGGAGGGGTATGACTGATGCTGCTGGTATGTCCACATGCTGCCAGGCCTGTCCGCAGAGGCAGTGGGGCTGGCCCTTGGCTGTGGGTGGGGATGACCCGGCCAGGTACTGGAGGGCCCTGTTGGGTCCCAGACCAGATAACCAACCCCCCACCCCCACCCCCACCCCCACCCGAGGAGACAGGCTGCGCAGTTGGGCCTGTGGATGAGTGCTGAGAAGGGGCCAAGCGCCATGCCCGTGACTTGAATGTCCAGGGAGGGTCAGAGGGGGTGTGGGGAGCTGAAGAGCTGGCGTCGGCACGAGCAGGTAGACCGGAAGAGCCAGGGCCTTCCAAACAAAACCCAGCCCAGTGACTCACCAGTGACCTTGGGCAAAGTCAGTGCCTGGGGATCCTGTTACATAGCAGCTGCCTTCTTCCCTAGTGACTGGAGGGGCCAGCATGCAGTGTAGACCAGAGTCCATCGGCCCCAGCGGCCCGCAAGTCTGCCCATGGGAGGGGAGAGGACAGGGGTGCTCGTTCTCAAACACTGGGCTCCAGAGAAGGCAGGCCCCTTGCTGCTCTCAGCCCTCTCAAGGCCTGACACGTTGATGTCTGGGCCAGGAGGATGAGATCCCCAGGGGGGCACATCTGGACCCACTGCTGACCGCTCCATGCCTCTAGGCCTTCTGAAGAGAGGGCAGCAGGGTATAGGGCAGTTCTCCTGGGGTGCCTGTTGGCATCCCTCCAAGGGAAATTCATGCTTGGTTTCTGCCAAAGCTGAGGCTTTACTCACTATTTGGGGATTAGAGAAAGGCCGTCACACTGACATACAGTTTGTATTAAAATTTGAGCTTAAAAATCATTTGGTGTGGGGCCAGAGAGGTAGAATAAGGGTTAAGGTGCTATTAAATGTCCAGAAATGTGATCGGTCCAAGAAAAAGCTGCCGGTGGGTCACCCAGTGGTTTCTACTACTTCTTGGAGGGCCAGCAAGGGTGGTCTCCACAGGTTGAATGCTGCCAACGGTCCCTGTGAGCGTGGGCAAGGGCTGCCGAAGTGTTTTC